TACGGCGGTGACGCCGAACTTTTCTCTTCCTGGATCTTGTCATCTTCTATTTTGGACTTTCTTTCCCTCGACTCTCTCTCTCTCTCTCTCTCTTTTTCTCTTTTTTTTAATGATGATGCGTCTGAATGGTTGTCCCTCTCTTGAGTAGGAATGAGTTGGCATCCTTCTTCTGTGTGAAAGACTTCTTCTGGAACTTTTCCATTAGTTTCCTGGGTAATCCTCCTACGCAAGGACCCCGTGTACTTGTCTTGTGAACGGTGGATGCGTGTGTATTGTGCAATGCGATCCATCTTTTCCTGTGCATGTCTCATTTTCGCACCTTCCCCAGTGAATGCATATATAGAGATGCGTGACTTTTTCGATTTGATTAGACGAGTGTCGTCGGGATTTTGTTAGAGAATGCAAGAGTGTGTTTAGATTTGTAGCTCTGTTTGCACTGCGCATGCCATCTGCCTTATGATGCACGACATCAGCAGCCGAGCCACGAGGCGGCCCTGAGAAACAAGGCGCTCAGGGACCAACGTTGTGTTGAACTGATCGGACCCGTAGCCATACTGATCTTTGATTGCTTACTCTTTCTTGTGTCAAAAAGATTGATTGGGGGACGCGCGAATCGCTTTTGTTCTTAATGACGTCTCAGGATATTTTGTGAGTGATTGACATGTGGACTGACAAGTACCTTTCGATTGGGCGCCAGCCTCCCGTATCTCCCATCCCAACACGACTTTTTCCTTACAGTGAGGAAAGGACACGTGTATGTGAGTGGGACGTATGAGAAGCCGTTGCACAAATCGGCGGGCAGTATTACTTCCCTCCGGCCAACCGCTCTTCTGGGTTTGTGGAAGCCGGGTTTGTTATTATCGATACGCACTTCCCACCTTACTCGGTATTGTTGCCATTTAACGAGTTAATCGTCATTCCGTGGACGGCAGTAGAACCCCACTGGCCGCGCACTCTGTGCACCGAATGTCAGCGTTTTGAGCGCTACGAGTCCAGGGGTTTCCACTACCGTGTGCGGAGTGAAGACGAACATAAAGAAAGAGCCACACAACTGAGACCCTCCTCTTTGGGACTAACCAGCGAACGACGACGGGATTTGATACGAAAATGAGACACGCGAAGTGTGCCCAAGCCTTTCTGTTCTAAACGACGGGCTGTAGCCCGGTGGGAGGCACGACAATACTTTTTGGATTGAATTTGGGTCCTTCTCTCTCTTTCCCGCCTTTCCCGCGCGCGCATTCTGCGACGCGCGAAACGATCGACTTGCTCCATCGGACCAACACGGGGGATTTCAGTTCCGTCTGTGTCCCCACACTCAATTTCCAAAAATCCTTGGCACACCTCATCTTGCTGTTTTTCTGGGCCTCTTTTTCGCACAGCTAACACTCCGAACGGAAGGCAGCACAGGGCGTGAGGTTAGTATCAGAGCCGACACGTGTCGGTTCTGATGATAGTAAGTCGAACTGGCGAGAGGTAGGAGAGACCCTCAACTAGCTCGTCGAGATCGCCCCGTAACCAGGTCTCAGTCTAGTGTGGCTGCACCAGCAATACCAATGGTGTACGGTACTAGGGTGATCGTTAGCATTCCTGCCCCTTTTCCCTTCTTCCCTAACCATACCCATCCCGAGGCTTGGCTTGAAGCTATCGAAGCTCAAAACTACAGTGCAACCAATCTTTCCCGTGTTCTGATATTACTACTTCGTAACACATAACATGACTGGTTTAGAAAACATACGTGGGTAGATTGGGATACTTTCAAGCGAGCATTCTTGGCTCGATTCGATATGGTTAGTGAAGATGCCGCCTGGTATGTACTCAAAAATCGACCACAAAGGCCAGGGGAATTATTGCCTGATTTCGTCGATTGATTTCAAACCACGTTGGATAAATCGGGGCGAGACGAGAATTCCGCTCGAGACTTGTTTTTTGATCACCTTCGAAGTCCGACCTTGAAAGGGAAACTGCAGAAAAAAGTTTCGTCGAAAACAACCCAGTTATCGGCTATCATCACTAAAGCGTTGGAGCTAGACTTGGCTGATACAAAAAAATAAATCAGCCAGGGAGACGAGGATATTACAGATACCATACGGGATGTAACGGCCAAAAGGCGATCATGGCTACAAGCAGTCGAACTGTTTTATCCCCGCCCCGATCATGACCTTCCCGGCGGAATCGTCTCCGATATCCCGGCTGCTTCTCCTCCCTCTCCCCCGATGAATCAATCAATCGCAGTCGTTAGGAGCGGAACCCCATCCCGGGTCATCCGAACCCCCCTCGCCAGCCATAACCAATTTGCATCTTGCCCAGATGATCCATACGGCCACTACTAAGCAGTCTGAATGGATGAGTAACTTGATCCAAATGCAGACGGCTCATATGGAGCGGATGGAACAGATAATGAGCAGGCTTATTTAGCCTAACCCAGCTCCTGCTCGGCTTGCCCCTGCATCGTTTCCACTCTTACCTGCCCCACCTGCTCCAGGGTTCGTGCCTCAGTTCCCTCACCTAGCTAATCCAGCAGGGAAGATCGAATGCTTTAACTGCAAACAGCCCGGGCATTTCGCCCGGGACTGTCCGCAGCCGAAACGTAATCAGCCTCCCCCTGTTGCGGCCCCCGTTGCCCTTAATCAGGGACAAGTGGCCGCTCTGATGGATACGGATCAAGGAAGAGAACTTGTGGCATATGCCACAGAACAGCCCTCCCCTTCGATGGCAACGGCATCGATATCGGGAGCTTCTTCCCCCGACGCTGCTGACGTGGTCGATCCTCTCGAGTATCTCCATCTCGCAGGTATGATCGAAGTGATCCGATCGGTCCCAGATGATCTCGAGTGGGTCGATCGCGAATCCAATCCAAGACCGCAGTTTCGGACAAGAGACATTGACGTACTGAGAACACTCAAGCAGTTAGACATCTGCGTTCCTATCCCCGTAGGGCATCTGCTCACCATATCTGAAGCAGCGAACGATAAACTTTTACAACACTGCCAAAAAAATCAAAAGTGTTTCACCTATCAACGCATACAACAGATGTTGAAGAAGAAGGAAGAAGGTGAGGAAGTGGTATCCCCTGAGCCGGACACTAAAGAACCTGAAGCCGCACGCATAGCCGCCATCTCTCTAGCAGATAAGGATCACTTCGTACGAGCTCGACCGGTTCTATTTAAAAGCGCACAATGTGACTGTGAAGTTTGGGGCAAGTCGTTTAATGCCCTTATCGACACAAGGTCTTCTGCAGTGGCCATATCGTTAGATACTGTCAAAAGGACGAGACGACTTGGATCCATTCTTCCTCAATCTGGCAAAGACAACTATGTCTCTACCGACGAGGAAGCAATGAACATTGTAGGCATTATCAAGAACATGCTGTAAAAGTTGGACGAGTACACGTCCTTGTTAACATGCTCGTAATAGATGCACGTTCCTATTCTGTATTGTTGGGATTACCTTAGGCGATGGCGGTGGGTGCACGTTTGCATTTCGATTCGAAGCAACTGGTGCTCACGCAAACTGGGGGAAAACCTCAAACTGTTCCTTTGCGGGTTTCCACTGGAACAATAAAACGGGTTCCCAACCCGGCCCAAATAGGGATGATTCGATACATTGATCCCGATGAATGCTCTCCCTCGCGCCTCGGGGATGAAATCAGGGAGCGAGAATGCGAAGAAGAGATGCCCAGTAAAGAGGAATGAAAGCATCTGGTTGAACTTTTCGAACATGAAACCCCCGAAGAATTTCGAGTGTGCCCCGATACCGCTCGAAGCTTCCACGAGGATTCTGAAGACAGTGCATTCACGCCTCTAACAACCCAGGTCAGTCCTTCAGTCCTCCTCGGGGAACCCATATTACAAGTTTCCGATCTGGCTGATGATTTGGAACCCCTTTGCACATTGTACGAGGGAGCTCTCTCCTTACGAACACGTTATCAGCAAACGGAACAGTATTTAGACGTTTCTGTTTTTCCACCTCGATCGTTACTAATGACAGGAGCCACCATTGCCTTGATTAAACAAGAAGCGGAAGCACCGGTAAATGATGTACCTAATCTGATGCAAGAAATGACGGATCTAACAGGGCTAACTGTGGAACCGACCTCAGTTGGTTCAGAAACTGATGCTGAAACTAAAGAAACAGAAATGATCAGCCCTGCTGAGTCCCAGATGGTAGCAACTGTCTTCTCTGTGCACACAAGTAGTTTCGTTTTCTCTAGTGTCAATGAGCGGCGGGAGCGGCCGGTTGATTGGATCGATATCCCMCTTAAGATGTCCAGGGAATCAACGATCACCCTCTCGAGTCACGTTCCCGCGGAACTACGAAAGTCGTTAATCCGTGTGTTAAATGGTTACGAAGATGTATTGAGCATGCACGATAATGACATCGGCCTGACGAATGTGATCGAGCATGCTATTCTCATGGGAGACCACCCACCCATTACCTGTGTTCCTTACCGATATTCGCCAGCTCAATGAGCGGCCGCTTTTCAGCGGATTAAGGAGTTCGAAGCTAATGGATGGATGAACCCGCTATAGGACCATGGTCTTTCCCTGTAGTAATCATACCTAAAAAGGCCGGAGGGATTCACATTTGCATTGATTACCGAAAGTTGAATGATATCACGATCAAAGATGTGTATCCCCTCCCCCGAATTGATGAGTTATTGGATGCGATTGGGGGTGCTCGATTTTTCAGCAAGTTTGATGTTCGTCATGTGTTCTATCATTTTCTTGTCCGGGAGGAAGATCGACCAAAAACAGCGTTTGTGCTTTTCGAAGGTATGTGGCAATGGATTCGATGTTCGATGGGTATCTGCAACGCCCCTGCGACTTTTCAGCGGGCCATGAACATGGCTTTTCATAACTTTGTACGGAAGACTCGTTTGGCGCAGAGCATCATCAACTACTGCTTGATTGTGTACATGGATGACATCCTAGTGTATTCAAGTTCCTACGAGGGACACGTGCAGCACATCGAATGGGCACTACATGCGTTACGAGATGCAGGTTTCAAGGTGGCGCTTGAGAAGTGTCAGTTTTTCCTCACCACCATTTCTTTCCTGGGGCACGTGGTGACGGACAAGGGACTCCAACTGAAGTCGCAGAAGGTGGCAACTGTCAGGGACACGCCAGTGCCTACCACTATCACGCAAGTTCGAGCCTTTCTGGGCCTAGCCTCGTATTACCGAAGATTTATCAAGGGCTTCGCGGCGATTGCGGGACCCCTCATGAATCTCCTGCGCAAGGATCAATCGTTGATTTGGACGCCGGAGTGCGATCAAGCGTTTTCCAAACTCAAGGCTGCTCTCATTTCGGCTCCGGTCCTTATAAGACCGGATCCCAAAAAACCTTTTGTTCTCATCACCGACTGGCAGCCAGAGGCGATCTCGGCGATCCTTGCCCAGGTGGGACCGAGCGGACTCGAGAGTGTAGTGGAGTATGCGTCTAAATCAGTGCCCGCCTACAAGCGCAATTACGCCGCTCCAACGGGTGAATGCTATGCGGCTCTCTGGGGAATCAGTCACTTTCGTGCTTACCTGTACTGGCAAAAATTCACCCTGGTGACTGATCATGAGCCCCTGTTGGCTCTGAAGAAGTCAAAGGATTACTCGGGCATGATCGGGCGATGGGCAACGATGCTGCAGAGCATGGACTTTGACATTCGTCATCGAAAGCACGAGAGACATGGAAATGCGGACGGACTTACACGACTGCACCGTCCTGAGAAAGTTCCGAGGAATGAGGAGGTGATTTCGTGGAACGGACCCGAGCAGAAGATTGGACCTCGGTACGACCAAGTGAAGATTTTGTCAAAGCAGCAAGTGACACGAGGATTAACTTGCCTGCTCTGCTCTCTCCACAATTCAGTCCCGTCTCTCCCCTTCTGTCATCATGACTACCCCGTCTGCCTCCACACCCCCTTCTTCTCCTACTAATTCTGCCCTTCTTACTTCCTCAGCTTTCTTCAACACCCTCCCCGATAAATTCTGCTATTTTTGCACCTGTATTGCACGGGTTTACGGGGTCGACTGTCATCCCTTCGAGACCGGATTTGTCGATTAGGTAGAATGTGCCATGTGTGTCAACCGTGTGCACGGGGCCTGCGTTCGATATCGGATGAGTAGCAAGGAATGGAGGTGCCCCCTGTGTAGAACGAACAAGCTGCCCACGGAGGTTCGATTCGAGGCCGCCCGTACGGACAGTCCTGAATACGACGAAAAATACCGACGGGCGGAAGTCTGGACGGATAAAATTTTATTGGCAAAATTAGCGGGATTATCATTAGGCCATCTCACCAAACACGACAGACGTAGGGTGACCGAGAGATCTTGGGACTATCGATGGATCAACGGTCATTTGGAAAAGATTAAAACTGACGGATCGGGTTCGTGGCTGACAGTTCCCCATCCCTTCCAGAGATATGATTGGATCCGATCTGCTCACGAGGAACAGGCCGCTCATTTCGCGATACGTGTCACGGAGGCAACTGTAGACCAGAATCGACGGTTCTGGTCCAATATACGAGGTGATGTCAAATACATTGTCGCTAACTGTCCGGTCTGTGTCGCTGATCGTGCTCCTATACGGGGACCAAACACAATCGTACCAACGGAAGTAGGGCGTCCTTTTCAACGAGTCAGTATGGACACGACAGACATTGACGTGCCACCTGGCCCAAACCGCTGTAAATAATTTATCCTGTTGGTTTTAATTGACCATTTTTCCAAAAACATCGAAGTTTATCCCTGTAAGACCCGAAAGGCCGCAAAAATAGCCACGTACATCGAACGGTTCCTCTATACCCATCTAGATACAGAAGAAATTATAACCGACAATGGGTCTGAATTTAAAGGTGAGGTAGAAGAACTACTTGCGCGAAGTGGCGTCACGCTCCGACATACGGCACCCCACGTGTCCCAACTGAACGGGTTGGTCGAGAATGCCAACCGTATGATTAAAACCGCCCTTCGCAGGAACTTAGCGGCACACGACACGCGTCCGTGGCCCGAGATCGTATATCAGATCGTCGGCATCCACAGGGCCACCCCTCACGAGTCTACGGGGTTCACCCCCTTTCAGCTTCGAACTAATAGCCTTCCCTGTGTCGATTACCGGGGTAACTCGGAAAACGTCGAAGCAGGGGGTAGAGACACGCGTGCAGCCCTCAAGGCCAAGGCCAAAAGGTACACCGATTTGATGGAACGGGCCGTCCCGAAGCTAGCCCGAAAAAGGCAAAGGATGACCAAGCTGGCCCACGGTAGACAGGCCCGGAACGGAAATGCTGGGCCCCAGTACCAGTATAAATTGGGGGACCTAGTGCAGGTACGTAAATGTGCACGCGACCGGAAACTCGCTCCCAAGTTCTCTGGTTATTTTTGCATTGTCGAACTCGGACCCAACAGCGCTAACACGGTACGCATCGTGCCAGAGGCTAGCGCCAGCCATAGCTCTGTCCCCATCGTAAGACATACCTCCTACCTCTGTCTTCTTCCTCCTTCCGATTTTCCTCCCTCTTCTTCCTCGGAAAGCGAGGAAAACGACGACGATCTAACCCTCTCTCCTCTTTCTCCCTCGTGTCCCTCATCCTCCTCTCCGACCTCGCCATGAGTTTCATCACGGAGCGGGTTCTCGACGCATAGCTGCGGCAGCCACGTGGCCACATCTCAGAGATCCGGCAAGTTTGTCACCCTCGGCTCAATACAGATCTTCGTCGTTTGATGCGATTCTTCTGCGACGAAGGTATCTGTGCCGCCGCCGCGTTTCAGATAGAAGAAAGCCCTCATGCGATAGTGTTCGCGGAGGTTACTGCAGTTCATCGGCGAGCGGGTCCCAGAACGAGCCACGTCACCACAGTGGCGGGATTCACCGGCGACCTCAGCTCGGTCAATCCGCTGTGGCATACAGCGATCTTGGCCTCGCTGCGCGAGTGGACGGAGCAAGTGTCCAACGTGTGGCAGCACGTCCTCGCCCAGGAGGGGTATAACATCATCTCGATCTTTGCATCGGATCTTGACGGTATTCGCCGATCAGCGCACGAGCGGCCAGTTGCGATCCCGACCATCGTCCCCTTCCCCCGTCCCCAATGAACCACACTGCTCGTCTCGCTCCTCTCTCTACCTTTGGTCTCCCCTCTCTCTTCCCCACCTTCTGGCAATCCGATCTTCACCCTTCTCTTTCCTTCTCGTTCGAGCCTCTTTCAGTCCCTCTTATCCATCCTGGACATTGGCGATTGTGGCGCGAAACTTTTGAGGAGCTGTCCTTTTGCTTGGCCAGAGTACAAGTGAAGTGGACGGGCACTATCGAGCACCCCACGTGGATCGAGAATCCGGAGCCGCTGATCATACAGGGTTGGAGGACTAACGTGGAAGGAGATCTTATTGGATTCCTCTTTGGATCGCTACGACCGGGTCGCCGTCAGTTGATTGCACAGGAGCTCATCGCACCGATCGTGCAATTGGCAGACGATCTCTCACTCGACATCTACTTTCAGAGTGACAATAGTCTTGCTCCGTACATTTTCAAGCGATCCTTGGATCCGTACCTTCAGTAGACTTCGTGCTTGGAGGAACCTAGGGACGAGGATACCCTACCATTGCGGCAGGAGTATCTGAAGTCGTACGAGATCATCCCTTACGCCCTCTATCCGAGGGCAGAGGAAGTGGTGATCAACGACGACGGCGAAGAAGAAGACAACGACGAGGAAACATCGGAGGAGGGAAGCTATAGTGAACATAGCGAGGGCGAGCTGAGTGAGGAGGAAAAGGAAGAAGAAGGAACCGGATCCGAGTGGGAAGCCCCGCCAGAGGAAGCGACGCGTACGGGAACGGAGGCGGAAGATCCGGAAGCAGCGCGAAGGCGCGAAGAGATTGCCTCCGGAAAGCGCCAGCTGGAGTTCGCTAGCGAGGTTAGCCTGCGCATCGGTAGCGGTCCGACCAGGGATCCAGAGCCGCCGAGGCCCGAAGATGGCGACCCTGCAGCTGCCACCTCAAGTACTGCGCGACGGAGACGGCGTCGATCCCCCTCCTCCTCCAGCCCCACCTGTCCCCCAGTTCGCCCACGTACCAATGCGGGCGATAGGCCTTCGACCTCAGACGCTGCCCCGCTGACCCCTTGATTTTCTCACCCTCGAACAGATCCGTACCCCCGTCACCTTTCCTTCCCATCCTTTCCATCCCCATCTCTTCCGCGACTTCTATTCTACCCGTCTACTCGCCACTGTCCATCCTCACGCCTCCCTTCAGTCCGCTGCTCCCACATTCTGCTGGCATTTCCTGCTGTTCAGCACTGCATGGGAGCGATCCAACATCGTAGAAGTCTACTGCATTGCTACGGGGACAATCCCCGCCTGTCGCCACTTCGAGATCTTTCGAGCGGCGCTTTTCCGCACCCTCTCCTCCTTCTACGATTACCTCGCTTCCCTCCCCCGCAGTGGCGATCATTTTCCCCGCTTCCACCGGATCATCCGATATGAGGAGCTCCCGGTGACGATGGAAGGAATGAATCGCTTCCTACCCCCACTCCCCCCCCGTCACCCCCGCGGGATCCCCGGCATGTACTGCCTCTACTGGCCTATTCCAGCTAGGCGGTAGATCCCATTCACTTGAACCCCCCCCCCCCC